GGTCCCCATGTACTAGGCTCACCTTTCCCTTTACCAGAGAATTATAAGTCTCCATGTTAGAGACTGGTAAAAAGGAAAGGAATTATTTATTCAAGTTATTCGACTTAAAGAGTAGTGACTTAATGTCTTCATCAAAATCCCAAAGTCCTTTAAAACACCCACAAACACACACAGTCCTTCCTTCCCCCTTTTGCCCAGTCTAAGGTACTGAATCTCAGGAAAAGAAATAGAAAGTCACGTTGTTATAGGAAAACGGAAGCAACCAGACACTGAGGAATTCTGGAGTACAAGAATGCTCATTCATTCAGCAAGTATTTACTGAGCTCCCACTGAGTGCTTAGACAATGTTTTTTATCACAAAACATCATTGAAAACTCTATAGCTCCTGACAAGCCTATGAACTCGTATACCAGAGGGATGTAACGTATCCAAAAGTCATCCTTTTCTGCTACACCCATCCTCTTCCCAACAACTTAAAAACAGGCAAAGAAAAGAGTGTGTGTACGGGCCCAGAGGAGTCATCTCCAAATTCTGAGCCCTGAACAAAGGATTCTTGGGGAATATATAGATTAGGGGTCTTCCTGTCTACATGACAAACGTGGGATACAGAAGCAGAATGTGACAATTGTTCTATCAGCAGGGGTGCTAGTCCCAGCCCTACTGACTATCCAGCCACCCGCCCCCCCCAGACAGCCCCATCATTCTCTCTAGGGCGCCTGGGGCCTGGGCAAATAAAGGTTAAACAGAGGTTTTTCAAAGTTTCCCATATCAGCGTGGTGGTTCTTTGCTAAAGCTGCATGATGATTCTTCTCATGGCTGTGGGGGGTGGCAGTCCCCCCACTCTGGCCCAAGCCACATGGTTCTCTCTTCTAAAACTACATGGTGATTATCTCTCACATGGCTGTGAGAGTTCCCATTCTGCCCCAAAACACATGATTTTCTCTTCAATGGCTGCTGCATCTGCCTTTAAATCCCTGCACCAATCTTCCTCTGCAGTCCCATTTCCGACTCCTCCCACAATCGGCTACACCCAGCAGGACTCCCATATCCTCCCAGCTTTACTGGGCTGCCATAGTGAGTCTGGGCAGGCATGGCCCCATGGTGTGGAGCCACTAGTCTCCAAGCTCTCAGGCAGATGCTGTAAGGAGGGCTGGGGAGTTGCCTCCCAGTTACATTTTGAGTGGAAGTCACTCTCTTCTCCTTGGCTCAAAGCATGGTCACAGCTATTTAACATATCTATGAAACCAGTTAAAGGTTATAGATATGTTAAATACCATTCTAGAAATTATCTACAAAACTGTTGCTATGCAAAACAACTCAATGGCCCTGCTCCATGTATCCCATCCCCCCAGCTCAGAGTTGTGGGGCTAAGCACATCTCATATTTTTTAATATTTCCTGGACACCTTGAGTTCTGTACCCCATTGCAAATTCTTTTGGGGACCCCGTGGCTGCACTCTCCTAAACCTGGATCTCACCTTATCTCACCAACACCCTTAAATCCTTATCTCTGTTTCTGCAGCTTTATCATTTAAATTCATCCTATGAGAAACAAAGCAAAACAAAACACAAAATAAAATCCTCTCTTTCTCAAATGCTTTCCCTAAATCTGTTATCGCCTTCAAATACATTCTCCAGTCTGATGATGTCTTTGTAACCTTTATAAAATGCAAGTCTGATAATACTACTCCCTTGCTTTATATGCTTCAACAGCTTTACTAAAAATAAATGTCGGAGTGTGGGGAGAAGGTATCAACTCAAATCAGAAGAATATGTAATTTGTGTATAATTTGAGTACCAAAAACTGATAAACACAGGACTAGAAAAAGAAAATAATCCCATACAGAAACATTTATGCAAAAATATTCCAGAAAATTATTAGATAATTAGTGGATTTATGTCAAACAAAAATAAGATTCAATATAGAAAGACCATTAGTACAATTCATTACACTAAAAGATTAAACAACTGATTGACATCTCAGTAGATGCAAAAATATTCCTTAATGTTCAGTAAATGTTTGGAGCAAACATATTAGAAAATAAATGAATATAAGAAACTTTCCTAAATAAGATACAGATTTTCCAACAAAATCTATCATGAAGATTATAGTTAATGCCAAAACTTGAGAGACATTCCTATAAATTTAAGAATAAAACAAAAGTGTCTATAATCAAAGTTCTTCTCTTGCATGGCACCATACTAGAAGGCTTTGTCAACAATAAGATGCTAAATAGCATGAGAAGGGAAGTACAGTGTGAGCTTGAAAGGGAAAACACATAATTGTTATTTGTAGCTGATGTACAAATAAAAAACAGAAAATATAGAAAAATTAACAGATGATATCTGTGCTAATAGAGTTAGTAAGTTTGCATAATAGTATATAATTGATATAACAAAAACAATATCATCCATCTGTTGCAGAAATAATCAACTTGTTTTATAGTGTTAAGCTTTATTTTTAGTTCTAGTTCATTATGAATTGTGATCTACCTAAAGATATTTTACAGATATACATTGTCCGGCAGAAGTAATGTCTACTTAAATGTGGTTGTTAGGATAATAATATGGGTATAATAATTTATACTTTTAATTTGAACATTTTACCTAAAATGTCAAATAGTATACTTGAGTGTGATATTGTTGTGCTGCAAAATTACATGCTTATGATTTTGTAATAAAAAGGGGCATAATTTGTGCCAGATCCTGTATATAGCATTTAAGAAAGTACTCAAAATTTTTCCACAACTATACTGAGTTAACTCAGCACCGTTTGTTAAAAGACTGTTTCTGCTCATTGAATGGTCTTGCCACCTAACTGTGGATCCTCTATACTATAACATTGATCTATATATCTCTCTTTTCATGAGTAGAAAAGTGTTTAAATCTCTTTATTTTTATAGCAAATCTTGACAGCATATTGAAGTCCACTTTTTCTTTATTGTAAAAACTATTTTGGGTATTATCTGGTTCTACACATTTTCTTATACATTTAGAAAAAGCTTGGAATTTCCACTAAAAAACCTCCTATAACATTGGTTGACATTTTAAATTATAGATCAATTAGAATAGAAATGCCATCTTACAAAACTTTGAGAATTTCAGTCTATGAGCATGGTATAGCTCTCCACTTATTTAGATTCTTAAAAGAATTCTCTATATTTTCTTAAATTTATTTCTAAACATTTTCTGTTTCTAGGAATTGCCATACATTGGATTGTTTTCTTCATTTTATTTTCTAATTTATTACCACTATTGTAGTATATAACTAGTATATAGCTGATTTTTGTATGACCTTGTACCTTCACTGATCTTGTTAAATTCACTTATCAATATTTGTAGTTGTTTCATTGAGTTCCTGGAGTTTTTTATGTAAATAATTATATCATCTGCAAATAGAGACATTATTTTCTTTCTGCTATGTTTTTATTTCTCTTTTTTGGCTATTTACAAATTACTGTGAACTCTAGGATAAAGTGAATACAGTCGTAGCAGTTTGAAACAGTTCCCCACTCTTCCTAGTTGACCTGAGTGTTTTGTTTGTGTGTTTGTTTAGATGGGTACTGAATTTCTTGAAACTTTTTCCAAATCTGTGACAATGATTACATGTAATTCATTTTTTTGTTAATATTACAAATTTCATTTTTGATTTTCAAATGTTAAATAAACCTTACATTCTTTGAATAAATCTTGCTCGGTTAGCATATGTTATTCTTTTCATGTATGTGGAAATTAGTTTTGCTACCATTCTATTAAGAATACATCCATGTTTCTGAGTACTATTAGTCTATGCTTTTTATTTTTGGAATGTGTTTGTAAAGTTTTCACATTACAATGCTGCTTTCACAGGTGCTTTCAAAAACATTATGCCAACAAGTTGGGCAACTTAAGTAAAATATTGGTATTATTTTTATTTAATATTTGAAAAATTTATTAGTAAGCCTATGGGGACAGAAGGAGCCTCCCATTTTTACAAATTTGTGTTTTAAATTCATGTTATAGATAATATAATTTTCATAATCTATTTCTTTTAATGTCAAATTTGATAAGTTGTAATTTTCAGAAAATATTATATATTTCATTAGAGCTTTCAAATTTATTGACATAATATTGTTAATAATATTATCCAGCTATCATTCTAATGTCTGTCAAGTCTGTAGTGAAATATCTTGTTTTATTGCCAATGCTAGGTTATTTGTATTACTTCTCCATTTTTCTTCATTGATTTAGCTAAGACTTTGGCAATTTAGCTGACCTTTATAAAGAATCAGTTCTTTCTGTGCCAATATTTTCTATTATATGTCTGTTTTCTATTCACTTATTACTGGCCTTCATTATTTCTTTTTACTTACTTTTACTTTGTTCTACCATTTTTCTTATTATTATATCTTGAATTCTGTCATTAAGAACACACACATTTGCAATTGTTCTGTCTTCCTGATAAATTGCCCTAATTATATTACAAAGTATTTTTATTAACTTTGATAATACCGCTGGTTTCAAAGCCTTTTTAACCATTTTTTCAAAAGCACACGCTAGTTCTCCCATAATACTGTTTGCTTGGTTTATCACTTTCCATCCACCACTTATTACCTATCTGTGTTCTTCCCTTTAAAATTGTCTCTTGTAGGGACTATATAATAAGGTCGTGTTATTTTTGTTGTTTTAATGCACTCTGCCAATCTCTGCCTTTTAATTGGACTTTCAAGTCATTAACATTTGATATATAACGACTTCTGTGGTGAGAGAGGAGCTTTCCATTTTCTTGTTTGTGTTGTGTTTACCTGTTTGTTTTATTATCATTGTCACTGCTGTTCCACTGTTTCCCTTTACCTAGCTCCTTTAAACTTATTTACATTTTTCTAATTATTGCTTTTTATTTAACCTATTTTTCATTTGGCTTCTTTTGTATTTTTTAAAGAAGTAGCCCTAGAAGTTGAAACATTCATACTTAAATTTTCACAAATTGTTTAGAGTTAATATTGTATCATGTCAAATAAAATGTGGAAAGCTGGAGATATGTTCTTTTGTCCCACCAACCATTATGTTTTGCTTAGCATGTATATTCACTGTACACATATTTAAAAATTACCAGCCAACATTATATACTTTAAAGACATATAATAATTTTTAAACTGATAAGAACAGATACTACACTTGATCATAGCCAAAAGCAGTAACATATAATAATTTTTAAAACTTGAATAAGAAAATTTTACTTATTTACTTACTCGTGGCTTTCTGTTATCCTTGAAGATTCAAAGTGCCCCTTAGCATTATTTTCTCTGCCAAAAGGGTCTGTTAACCATTTCTATAAAGCCAACCTGCTTAAAATTTTGAGTTTTCCTTCACATGAAAATATCTTTATTCTGCATTTGCATATTAAAATATTTTCATTAGATATAGAATACTGTTTTTATTTTTTCCTTTTAAGATGTTATTCTTGTCATTCAGTGTTTTTTTTAATTATTTAGTTGTTCAAGTACAGTTTTCTGTCTTTTACTCCCATCCCAGCCCACCCCCCTGCCATGCTTCCCACCTCCCTCCCATTTCCACCCCCCTTAGTTGTTGTTCATATGTCCTTTATACTTGTTCCTGTAAACCCTTCCCCTTTTCCCCTGAAATTCTCTCCCCTCTCCCCTCTCTGGTCACTGTCAGCCTGTTCTCTATTTGAGTGTCTTTGGTTATATTTTGCTTGCTTGTTTGTCTTGTTGATTAGGTTCCACTTATAGGTGAGATTAGATGATATTTGTCTTTCACTGCCTGGCCTATTTCACTCAGCATAATGCTTTCCATTTCCATCCATGTTGTTACAAAGGGTAGGAGCTCCTTTTTTTCTGCTGCATAGAATTCCATTGTGTAAATGTACCATAGTTTTCTGATCCATTCCTTTACTGCTGGGCACCTAGGTCACTTCCAGCTCTTGGCTATTGTAAATTGTGCTGCTATGAACATTGGGGTACATAGGTTCTTTTGCATTGGTGTTGTAGGGTTCTTAGGATATAATCCTAGCAGTGAAATTGCTGGGTCAAAAGGCAGATTCATTTTTAGTTTTCTTAGAGAATTCCATACTGTTTTCCATAGTGGTTGTACCAGTCTGCAAAGCACAATCCTTTGAATTACTGTTTCTATGTGTTGTGTATACTGTAATTTTTCTCTATTTGCTTTAAAAATGCTTTCTTTATGATTCTGTCACTTTTATTATGATATGATAATATAATAGTGATTTTAGAAGTGATTTTCTTTGAATTCATTCTGTTTGTTTCTTCCCGACATGTATAGAACACAGAACAATAACAGGCAAACACACACTTCTCTCAAGACCATACTTAACATCAACCCCAATATTTCATTCTGAGAAAAAAACCTTAAGAAATTTTGTTTAAAAATTATATTGTATTTTTTCCATTACCACTCAGGCCCCTTATAGGTCCTCTCCTCTGTCATCACCACTCCGTTGTCCATGTCCATGAGTCCTTTATCCTTTTTTCTTAGAAATTAAGAGAATAGAAATCATGCAGTGTATATTATATGTAATAGTAAATGATTTAAGTTAAAAATCAGTAACAGAAAAATAGATGAAAATTTTCTAATTATTTGAAATTTAAACAAAATATTTCTGAATAAGTCATGGGTCAAAGGAATTCTCAAAATAAATTTTACTTTGACATGAATGAAGATGAAAATGCAACATATCAAAATATATAGAATTTAGATAAATTATTGGTTAGAGGAGATTTTAGTCTCAAAAGCATGTATTACAAAAGAAGAAATGTCTTGAATGAATAATTTACACTTTCACTTTAAGAAACTAGAGAAAGAATAGAAGATTGAATTCAATTAATTATAAAGGTGTGCAGATTACATCTGAAAAAAGTCAGAGGCTGTTGTATAACACATTTCCACTGTTCCATCCAAATGCAGGTATTCAAATTCTCCTTTCCTTTTGTCACCATCCCTGAGTGATCCATCCTACACCTATTATTAGCATAATCTTTCTATAACACTGTTTCAATCATTATCACTTGTTTAATCATCTTCTATGGTTCCTCATTCCTCTGCCATAGTTTATCATTGCCATGGTATATCATTCAAGGATTTTATTTACCAAGATTGTCCTTAACTGTTACTATTGAACTACACTATCTTTGACCCAAATTCTTCCTTTGCTATGTTCCTGATGCACTTCCACCACACTTTCTTTGTACCTTTATTTTATCATTTCCTCTGCATGAAAAATTCATTGAGAATTGTATCGGAGATAATACCTTCATTTCCACCTACCTAAAAATTTATTTTTATTTGAGTACAAATCAAATATAATTTGCATGAGCTTATTATGGATATATGTATATGCTAATCAGAAGTATAATATCACTTGAGCCTAAACTTAAGCAACTTTAATGAAAAAAATATTTTGCAACTGTGTCACTCCCCCTATTAATGCTAAGTTCCAAGTTATGGAAACTACACTCATATCACCTTAAAAAGTAGTTTGAATACAGAAGGGGGTCAAAAGATAATTAAAATTTGGCTTTTTAACAGGCAAACCTCACCCATGAAAGGTTATTGGACTTGTCTCCAAACTGTGTTGCTTTTTCTCTTTTGTAAAATTGTCGATTGTTTCTGATGCTCTTTTTAAATCATTATTATTGTTGTTCAGTTACAATTGTCCCACCATTTTCTCCATTGTTCTCCCCTGCCCTGTACACCCATGCTCTTCTTCTTGTTCTTAAAAAAAATGTGTGTGTGTATATGTGTGTATATATATATATATATCCTTACTAAAACACTTTACAGGAATATTAGTTCCTGTAACAAAGAACACCAGTGTTATTTCCAGGTCTAACTTCCCACCTCTCCTGGTCTTTCTTTTGATGTTACAGTGACTAAATACTAACTCTTTGCACTTAGCAACAGTAGTACTGGACCCCAAACCTGCTTCACATCCAGGAGCCCATTGTTCTCATTCCAGGATGGCTGCCAACAAGTGATATGTCCTGGAGAAGTTACCCTACTGTAGGACTATTTGTCCTATCTTTTTAAAAATTTATTAGATTTATTGGGGTGACATTGATTAACAAAATTATATAGGTTTCGGGTGTACAAGGGAGGACTCAACATAACCTGGAATTTTTCTGTAAAACATGGTGTATTTATTCTTACATGTTTAAACTTCAGTCACCTTCAAAGTACTCTCCATTTGATGGAATACACCAATTGAGATATATTTTTTTCCCATGGCTCAACACAGTTTTGAACTCATTATGATTCCTTTTAGTGTTTCTGCTGTTTTTTTGTTTCACCTCTTCCACACTGGCGAACATTTCCCTTTGAGGAATTTTCTCATCCAGGGAAACAAACAAAAAGGTGCTCTGGGAGAGATCTGGTGAATAGGGAGGGGGAGCATGGGGGTCATGCCAATTTTGGTTAAAAACTGCTGAACACTCGATGAGGTGTAGGTAATTGTGCTCATATATTACCCATCATGAAATGAGCAAAGTCCCTGAAAGAGTTTCCGAAGAAACTTCACGAAGGCTGAATACCACCTCTCACAATGACAGCTGGTACGCTGACACAGATGGGTCCCTAGAACACTAGCCCAGTAGGGGAAGCCTCTACTACAAGGGACCTGCCATCCAGAAGATTACTCTGGTTTTTTTTGGGGGGGGGCAGCTTGTACAGTTCTATAATACATCATATGTGTATTGTATTGTGTGTCTACTATCCAAAGTCAAGTCTCTTTTTGTCACCATTTATTCCCCTTCACCTTCCTTTACCTCCCTCCACCCTCCTTTCCTTGTGGTAATCGCCATGCCATACTGTATGTAGTCTGCATATGTGAGGTTTGTTTGTTTTTTGCTTAATCCCTTCAACTTTTTCAGTCCAAGCCCCTCCCCTCTGGCAGTTGTCAGTCTGTTTTCTGTATCTATGAGTCTGTTTCTATTTTCCTTATTTGTTTGTTTTGGTCACTAGATTCCACATATAAGTGAAACCATATGGTACTAGTATTCCTCTGACTGTCTTATTTTATTTAGCATAATGTTCTCCAGGTCAATCCTGCTGTCGCAAAAGGTAAGATTTATTTCTTTTTTATGGCCAAGTAGTATGTGACACAGTTTTTTCCACTCACCTACTGATGGAAACTTGGGCCGCAATCAAATCTTGGCTATTGTGAATTAAGCTGCTATGAATATAAGGATGCATGTAACCTTTCAAATTAGTGTTTTGGGTTCCTTTGGATATATCCCCAGAAGTGGGATTACTGAGTCAAAATACAGTTCCGTTTTTAATTTTTGAGGTAACTCCATACTGATTTCCACAGAGGCTCCATTAATCTGCATTCTCACCAGCAGTACACAAAGATTACTCTTTCTCTAAATCCTTGCTAACTCTTGTTTGTTGATTTATTGATGATAGCCATTATAACATGTGTAAAGTGATATCTTATTGTGATTTTAATTTGCATTTCTCAGATGATTAGTGACGTTGAGTATCTTTTCACACGTCTGTTGGCCATCCGTAAGTCCTCCTTGAAGAAGTGTCTATTCTGATCTTTCACTCTTTTTTTTAAATTGGATTGGTTGTTTTTTGGTGTTGAGTTTTATAAGTTCTTTATAAATTTTGGGTGTTAACCCCTAATCAGATGTATCATTAGCAATTATGTTCTCCCATCCAGTGGACAGTCTTTCCATTTTTAAATTTTTTTAATTGTTCTTTAAATACAGTTGCTCCATCTTCCACACCACCACCCCCCTGTCTTTCCATTTTGCTGATGGTTTTCTTTGCTATGCAAAAACTTTTTAGTTTAATGTACTCCCACATGTTTAGTTTTTATTTTTATTGCCTTGCCCAAATAAATATATCAGAAAAAATATTACTATAAAAGTTGTCTGTGATTTTACTGTTTGTTTTCTTCTAGTACTTTTATGGTTTCAAGTAATATATTTAAGTCATATCTATTTTGAGTTTATTCTTGTGTATGTTGTTAAAAAATGGTCTAGTTTTACTTTTTGCATGTGTCTGTCCAACATCCCCAGCGCCATTTATTTTTCCCTTCTTCTTTTTTTAATATTCTTATTTATTCTATTATAGTTAACCTAATTTTTCCTTCTTTGCCCTCTGTGCCCCAGCCTACCCTCCATTTCCATAGTCAATCCCCACACCATTGTCCACATCCATG